AGATTCTAAAAAATTTAAAGATTTCCAAAGCTAAAGAATTTCCACTATGGAACTTTATATTTTCCAACAGCTAAAGTTGTCACTTTTTTGCTTTTACAGTATAACGTTATATGAACACAATATGAAAATTTTTTCCTGGAAATTCTGTTTCCTGAGACCCTACAAAAATGAAAGGCAAAAGGAAGAACAAGATGCCTCAAATAATTTATAGATTAAATTAGACTGATTTTAGTATTTCTTCAAAATACAATCTTCCTTTAAGCAGGAAACTATGTTATATTTAATTGGTTTTTAAAAATCTGAAAAGACAAGAGAAATAAAAAGCAAATTAATAAAAAGACAACATTAAGATAGCAATCCACAAAAACAGAATCAGATGATTGAAAACAAATCATCAGTGCCTGAGTATAAAATCTTCACCTTTTCCAATTTACTTTATGTAAAGAATTCGAAAATTTATCAAAATAATTAAAGCCCACAATAAGATAATACTACATACCCATTAGAAGGGTCAAAATGAAAAAGACTGAAAACATCAAATGCTGGCAAGGTTGTAGAGCAACCAGAACTTTCATACACTGTTAGTAGGAGTACAAAATGGTACAATTTTAAAAACTGGCAGTTTCTCAAAAGCATACATCTATCTACCTTATGAGCAAGAAATTGCCGTTCTGGTATTTATCTAAGAGAAATGAAAATGTGTATCAACAAATACCCTGTATATGAGTATTTGTAGTAACTTTATACATAACAGACAAAAACTAGAAACAGTCCAGAAGTATGCCAACAGAAGAAGGAATAAACAAAGTGTGATATATTTATACAATGGAATGCTACTAAGTAATACAAACAAACTACTAAAACACCCAGCATTATGTTGGGAAAAAGAACTCTTACACAGATGATTATAAACTATACAATTCCATTAATGAAAGTTCTAAAATAAGCAAAACTAATTTATGGTGGCAGAAATCAGATCAACAGCTGCTTCTGGCAGGAAAGAATGACCAGGAAGGGGACAGGGGAACTTTCTAGGGTAATGGAAATGCTCTATATTTGGTTGTAGATTACATGAGTAGAAGCATCTGTCAACTGATCAAACTTTACACATAAGGATTTGTGTATCATGTTACTGTATTAATTTATACCTCAAGTTAGAAAAATTATCAGGGAGAAAAAAAACACATGGAGTCCATTCAGGGATGGGTTGCAGAATTCACAGAAAATAACATCAAACACTTGTGGAGTCTCAAAACATACCAAGTAATAAAGCTGTTGTTAACCTTAAGTTGTTGTGATTTGTCAGCGTTACTGTACCTGAAAACTGCTGACAGTTTTGTTTTTGTAAATAAAAGTACCATTTAAATATTGTAAAAATATTTCCCAGTAAAAGAATTTATGGTGAATCCTTTCATGCCAAAAAGAATATTTGCTAAATGACAGAAAAAAGAATAGAGAACAAAAGAAATTTTCTTGGCTTTCCATTGGAGAAATTCCAATCATATCATACCTTGTAAGTTTTTGAAACTGGTACTTTTTCTTGTTTTACACTTTTCACTTCATGAGCAGCATGGGAATTTCCTTTCAATCTCTGTATTGTCATAAATTCATACTTCCTCTGCAATAGTACATATCCATGAATTAAAGAACAATTGTATCAAAAGTGAGCAAATCCAAATGCAATCATTTTAAAATTCACTTGTATCTCCGGAAGAGCAGGTAATTTACCTGTAAATTATCTAAACGAGCTTGAACTCTTTTAGCCTGAATCTCCATCTTCCTGTTTTCTTCACTTACTTCGTTTAACTAAAAGAGGAAAAAGTTAGACATTTCAATATAAACCTTAAACTGGTTTCATACTAAGGGCTTCTCAACCCACTATCTAATCTGGTCTATATAACCAAACAATGTAACAAAACACAGGCAACATTGATGATTAAATTAGATCACAGCTAAATTTCACCATTTTTCCCTAAAATATTAAGAAAGTTTACTTCA